AGTCCCCAATGTTAGGCAGGAAAAAAAGAAAGGGAGGTTGAAGAAGGCAGGAGCCAGGACCATGTGGGGTGTGAGATTTGGGGCCAGAGAAGTGCCTGGGGCTCCCTGGTGCCCCCTCCCTGGTCTCCAGGTGGTATCAGGATGCTGATGGCGTCTCCCTTTCTCCCTGCCGAAACCTTCCTAGGTTTGAGCCCAGGGGGTTGCCGTCCAGCGTGCACCTGTATTTCTATGACGACCATTTCCAGGGCTACCTGGTGACGCAGGCGGTGCAGCCCTCAGCCCAGGGGCCAGCAGAGACCCTTGAGATGTGGCTGATGCCCCAGAGGTCGCTGAAGCTGTTGGGGCACAGTGACCAGGCCAGCCGGCTCCAGAGTCTGGAGGTGGGACAGGTCCTCCCCCTTGCTTTCTCCTGACCCCCAGCAAGACGCAGGGAGTGGGAAGAGAGGGACAGACACCAAGGGAGGGGTAAGGACTCCATCAGACCGTTGTGGTCTGGGCTCTCTGGGCTCTGCTTTCCAAATAATGGCAGCCGTGGCGATGCCGCATGCCTATTTGCTACGTCACCCTCGCAGGCATACACTGAGGGGCCCTCTGAGATGACACGGGGTAGGATCGGAGCTGTCAGTTCTAATCTCCCAAAGCGCAAATGCTCCTGGGGCTTGGCTAGTCCAGATGAGCTCCGGGTGTCCTTTCCTAGAGGCTCTGCCTTTGTGTGTGGGGGGTGGTCTGCCTTTATGGGCCCCACCAGGTGGCAGCCTGGAAGAAAGCTTAGAGCTGGGAGAGAGGTTTTGGTTCCAGACGTACCCCTTCAATTTGAAGATAGGGAAACTGAGGCCCTGAAAGAAGCAGTGACCGAGCTGAGTTAAAACCATGAGAGGCGGCATGAGAGCAGATAGAAGGACTTCTCCCAGGCTTCTGCCCAGCTGCCTCCCTCCCTACAGGTTGGCACTGAGTGGGACCCTAAAGAACGTCTCTTCCGGAACTTCGGGGGCCTGCTGGGACCATTGGATGAGCCTGTAGCCATGCAGCGCTGGGTCCGGGGCCCCAACCTCACAGCCACTGTCGTCTGGATTGACCCAACCTATGTTGTGGCCACATCATATGACATCACGGTAGATGCGGACACTGAAGTCACGCAGTACAAGCCCCCGCTGAGCCGGCCACTGAGGCCAGGAGCCTGGACTGTTCGATTGCTTCAGTTCTGGGAACCCCTGGGCGAGACCCGTTTCCTCGTGCTGCCATTGACCTTCAACCGCAAACTACCTCTCAGGAAAGGTAAGGACGTAGTGCCCAAACGATGCCAACAACTCGGATAGAGCAGGATTTTCCAGGGTGCTGACCCAGGGCTGAGTAGTAAAATGGAGAAGGCGGGGCTCTGGTCTCACATCCCTGCAGTGTGGTAGTGAGCAAAGAAAAGCCTGGGAGTTAGGTAGACTGCAGTCTGAAATGTGGCTCTGTCCTTATAACTGGGCCCTGAAAAGGACAGCATAACTATGGGAGACAACTGGGTGACTGGAACAAAAGTCACTCAAGTTAGATTGAGCAAAATCGAAAAACACCTCAGGTCTCACTGGGGACCAGAGGTGCTGTATTCTTGTCCGTTATCCTGTCCTGTCGATGGTGCTCCTCCACCACACGCTCTCGGCGCAGCAGAGCCAGATTAGGCCCTTGAGACCCTCAAGTCCCAAGTAGCTTGGGATGGTCAGATTCACATGGCCCTCTGGTGATTCGGCTGAGGCTAAGGGGACAGGCTGAAGCTGAGCGGTGTCCTGCTGGAGTTAATTACTGGGATGAAGGCCGGCTAAGCGTGGTGATGAGTGGTATCCCGTGGGTAGCCATCTCCTTTCCCCACTGCACCCAACCACAAGAAGGTGGGGAAGAGCAGGAGTAACCCAAAGAGATGAGTGTGCGAGGGTGGGGAAGATGCGGGGCAGGCAAGCCGCTTCTCCATCGATGAAGGAGACAGCAGGCTGAGCAGTCAGCTCTGCGGGCAGGCCTGGGACTAGACCTCAAAAGACAGAAGTGGAGCATGTTCTGTGCCAGCTGACAGTGTTGGCCCATGTCTGCATGAGAAAACAGAGTGGAGCTGAAGAAGATGTAGAGAACAGGATGCCAGGGGGTCTGGGAGCTACTGTGGCAGTCAAGAAGAGGTGTGGATGATATAGCCAGAGCACTGCCTTACTTCCTAAGGTGCCTTTACTTCCTAAAGTGCCTTGTTTAACATAATTCTACAGTTGCAGGGTTGAGGATTTAGCTCAGTAAGGCCTTGGGTTCTGACCTCAGCCAAAAAAATAAAATAAAATTAGAATTGGGAATTTAGGAATTATACTTTATAAGTCTGCTTATTTATTTACTGAGACACTGTCTTACAAAAGAGCCCAGGCGACCTGGAACTCACTGTATAGCCCATTCTGGCTTTGAACCTTTGCAATCCTCTTGCCTCCCCTTGCCTCCTGTTTGTTGGAGTTATAAGTGTGTGTCACCAAGCCAGCTACCAACTAGGGTTTTATACAGCGATGATTTTATAGGCACAGAAAATTCCTTGGATTAGCCCCAGTCCACTCCGTAGGATGAGACCTCATGGTAAGAGTCAGCTGAGTCAGAGTCAGCTCTGGCTCCTATTGTCTGTCCTCCCTGGGACCAAGGGACATGCTTAACTGCTTGCTCTGTACCCCCAGATGATGCCAGCTGGCTGCACGCGGGACCACCTCACAACGAATACATGGAGCAGAGTTTCCAGGGCCTAAGCAGCATCCTGAACCTCCCTCAGCCAGAGGCCCAGCAGGAGGCTGCCCGGAGGCACACAGAGCTCACAGGTCCTGCACTTGAGGCCTGGACTGACGGGGAGCTGAGCAGTTTCTGGTCTGTCGCAGGATTGTGTGCCATAGGCCCTTCTGCCTGTCCCTCCCTGGAGCTCTGCAGACTGACCAGCTGGAGCTCTCTGTCTCCTGACCCCAAATCAGAGCTGGGGCCTGTCAAAGCTGATGGGCGTCTCAGGTAGCAGGGCCCCAGCCAGCACAACCCGGAGGAGCCGGGGAATTGCACCTTACAGACAGTGGAGGGACCTCTCTCCCTCAGACAGGAAGCAGAGGCCAGGCAGTGTGCCCGTTTGAGCCATCAGGAACGTGCACGGAGGACAGGGAAGGTGGGTGCAGCGTTCACTGCTGCTAACGGCTCTGCAAGAGACCAGAGGTCCACTGGAGCCACGGGGAGGCTCTTCCTCTGCCCTCCTCTAGTTTGTACTTTTTTCAAATTTGAAATGAGTGGCAGGGGGAGGAAGATGTGCAATAGGGCTCAGAGCAGGCCCAGGAAGTGGGCCGTCGCCATGGGGAGCACTACAGAGCACATTTGCTAACCACTCTGGGGAGGCTTTGTCTGCCTCGCCGTCCAGAACCTCCAGCCCCAAGTCTGCTCACAGCTGAGGCTCTTAAGAGGCGCAGGTGCCTGTCCTGCTCCGAGGCCCGGAGAACAGGTGACCTGGGGAGCCGGGCTTTAGTGGTACAGCCTCTCTCTCTCTCTGGTAGCCAGGGGACCCTAGCACAGGGGCGGGGCTGGCTCTCAGGCTTTCCAGCACCTGCCCTAGAGAATGCAGGGCCTCAGGGCCTGCTGAGAGCCATGCGGTTTCCCAGGTGTGCCCACTGGCAGCACAGGGAGGCTGGCGGCGCTCAGAGGAGTCGCGTTGTGCCTGAAGCTCAGTGTGGAGTCTGAAATATGCAACAGAGGAAATATATCTCTATCTCTCCAAGCTGGATGTCCTCATTTGCTTTCTACTGCTATGAGAAAGACCATGAGTAAAAGCACGGGGAGGGGAAGGGTTTTATTTCACCTTACAGCTTAAGCCATAAAGGGAAGCCAGGGCAGCAACTTGGAAGCAGGAACTAAACACAGGCCACAGGGAAAAGGCTTATTGGCTTGCTTCCCAGGCTCATGGTCTTACTTATGCCTCCCGGGACCACCTGCTCGGGACTGATGCCACCTACGGAGGGGGACCCTCCCACAACAGTCATGAATGGAGGCATCTTCTCAGCTGAGGGACTATCTTCCCAGATGATACTGGCTTGTGTCGAGTTGACAAACTAGCCAGTGCACTGAAGCTCCACATTTTCTTCTGTGTATGAAGGAGCAGGGGTTGGTCCCTGGGCTTTCTGGAAGTCTTAGCTGGTTCATTGATAGCCTTGACATACAGGGAACAGTCGAAAATCCACCCAGAACCAGACGGCTTTCCAGTGAAGGCTTCTTTCTTCGAGAAAATGGGCCCCAGGAGGCCTCAATTTCCATTTGCTACCCAGCAGGCCAGCATTAGTGGCGTTTAAAAAGCCCCACCTGGCACTCTACTGCCACCACTGGGCCAGACTGCAGTAAATGCTGCCTCAAGGGCCCTCAGCATTACGGAGGCCCATCCCAAAAGCATCATCACTGTTGCTCCCTACTCAAGCCCTGCCTTCGTAACCTGCTCAGTAAGAGAGGATATCGTGGTTCTGGCCTACCGGTTAGCTCTGTAGCTTGTCCCTTTATGGCCAGGGGCAGGGACTGAGCCACTGTCCTAGGACCTGAGTGAATGTCTAAGTCCCTCACTTGCTACCTTTCTCAAGTTCTCTGCCTTCCCACCGGAGTCTCCTGTTGTCGGCGAGGGCTCAGCACTAGTTCTTCATGCCTTACATAATGTGGGAGTCACAGTGAAGATTTCTGGACCTCTAAAATCACTTCATCAGCTGCCACACAGGGCAAAGCTCAGCTTTAGCTGGGAGAGTAGGTTGTCTGAGGGCTGGCTAGGCTGCAGCATTTTCCCAGGGCTGGGAGAGAGCGCTCCTGACCACAAGTGGACAGCGCAGGGGTGGGTAGTTTGCAGCCTTGGAGGCTGGTACTTCATAGCAAGTCCCAAAAAAAATTACCAGATGGATTCAGCAGATGAAGCACAGGCAGTTAATCATCCTATCAAGGTAGACTACACCCTGGAGCCAGGACCAGTTAACCAGGACAACAGTCCTCAGAGCACTGGATTCTGGTTTTTGTTTGTTTATTGTTTTGTTTTGATGTTGTTGTCCCCACACACACACATATTTTTTTTTTTTTCTGTGTAACAGCCCTGGCTGTCCTGGACTCACTTTGTAGACCAGGCTGGCCTTCAACTCACAGAGATCGGCCTGCCTCTGCCTCCCAGAGTGCTGGGATTACAGGCGTGCACCCCCATGCCCCACTGGATTTTGGGTTTTAATGTATGTATGTATGTGTTGGGGAAAATGCACACAGCAGTATGCCCACATGCACAGGCCAGAGGACAATGTTGGGTATCCCACTCTACAGTTTCTGCCTTATCCTTTGAGACAAGACCTCCTACTGAACCTGGAGCTTGGAGTTTTTTCAGCTGGGCTGGCTAGCCCGCAAGCCTCAGTGATCCTTCTGTGTCTGTCTCCCTGCACTGGGGTTGCACATGCACAAAGCTGATCTTGGCTTTTGTGCATAGGGGCTGACCAAAGGGTCCCATCTTCTGGCTTAACAGACAACTGTTCCTTAGGGAAGGGGCCTTTGAGATCTCCTGAGCAATGCATCCTCTTGCCCAGGTTCCTTCCAGCTCAGAGCAGCAGTAGGAAAAGAGTTTACAACATCCTGGCCAGACCCTTCCTTCACCATTGTAAACACTGCAGAGAGCCCTCAGAGAAGACAAAGATCTCCTCCCAGCCCTTCAGCTCCAGGAAGGACAGCCAGAGCAGGTTTCTGTGGGTAGGAAGGGCAACTCCAGCACTGCCAGGCCTCTCCTCAGGGCACCAGACAACAGCTATGTAGGAAGCAAAATTGATTTGAGCTGCAGCCCTAGATTCTCGACTCCCAACTCTGGACACCAGACCTAGGATGAAGAGTGAGGACAGATAGTGTTAGGACTCTGCTCCCCTGCACGCTAAAGTACCCCAGGCTTGCCCTGCATTCTGAGGCTTAGCTCCTCCCTAACTCAGAACCATGGGCCACCTACAGAGGTTCAGCAGAGAAAGGAGCAGACATGCAAATGAGGATCCCTGAGCTGCCTCGTCTACGTAGGGGATGAAGTGTGTGCTAGTGCTAGCATCATGCGGCCAGGCAAGGGGTCTGATGTGGCTAGACCGCAGATGTCAGAAGCTTGCACAGGCCGGAACATGGTGCTCTGGGCTAGCCTCGTCAGACAGCATGGGAAACTAGGTAACGGTGCTACATGACTCCCTCACTCCCTGTGTTTCTCTTGGTCATGGTGGTGTCCCCAGAGAGATCCTGGATGAGGCTTACTGATGGATCCCAGGACCCATCAGTAAGCCCTGTGGTAGTCAGCTTGTGTGCCCAATGGTTTGACAGATCTCTGCCCCAACCGGGGCAGATCTCCCCAGTGGACTGTATAGTGCTTGGGGCCCTGAACTATCTAGCCCTCCAAGCCTTGGGTGCCCTGCAGAACTCAGCTTCTCCCAAATGACTGGTTCACAGCGCCTGCTAAGTGCGCACTGGGCAGGACAAGGAAAAGGCTACAAATAGTCCCAGTATTTGAAAACCCCACTTTGCCCCTGTGCACAGGCCCCAGGCCTGGAAGGGACGGGCAGTGGGTGACACTGAAGCAGCACTGTAAAGGGTGTGTGGGTACATGGGAGGAGACAAGGAGATGGTTAAACCTTTGCGCTCTAATTCTTTCCAACTGCCACTAAGCTGAGAGCCTCAAGGATACTGCCTGCACTCTCACCCCACCGCGGTTTGCTCATACCTCAAGAAGCAGCCACCTGCCCTACACCTTCCCAAGTCTTAAGGGAGCCAGAAAGGACAGCTTTCATTCTAAATGAAATGTCCTTCCAACTGCTACCTCTCTACCCAGCTAACCTCAGTACCTGCGACACCACATGTCGCCAAGTGAACCCCACAGACCCCAGACCACCTTTGTCAGGGAGCTGCAAGGTGTGGGGGATCCAGGATCCTTCCCTGAAACTACCAGGCAACAAGTTCACAGAACAGGAAGGTGCCTGTGCGCCCCATCTCTGGATCCCCTGTGTGCAGGTCACGAAGGATGTTTAAAGCCACTGGACTTTACATGTCCCCTTCTGGGACTGCAGCCACTACCACCTCTCTCCAGCTGTCAAGGTGACCATCCTACCTGCTGTGATTGGTCCCTCTACTAGGAGCCAGAAATTGGAGGTTCGGCTTGGGCTGACTGATAGTAGAGACCTGCCTGGGCCCTTAATGTGTACCCCAAAAAACAAACTCTACTGCTTTTTCTAGTTTGAAGTACATCAAGAACCAGATGAAAATGTGGGCTCCCTGTATTTGGTGAGCTAGACGAAGCTGTTTGCCACTTACCCTGCCACACATTGGAAGGATCCTTATCTTCCCGAGTAGGTGGAACACAGCAGGGCCTGTGTGCAGAGAGCTACCATGTAGCCATCTCTGGGGCTCCCTTTACCCATGGCAGCAGGTGAACCACACGGCCAGCTGCTTCCTCTACGGCCCCACCGCCCCCACCTCCAGGGCCCAGCCCCTGGACTTTCCAGGGACCAAGGAGGAAGCACCAGTGACACTCTAGACCGGTGCTTCTCAACCTTCCTAATGCTGTGACCCTTTAATACGGTTCCTTGTGTTGTGGTGACCCCTGGCCCTAAAATTATTTTTGTTGCTACTTCATGACTGTAACTTTGTTTCTGTTAGGATTTATAATGTAAATATCTGATATTCAGGATGGTCTTAGGCAACCCAACCCCGAAGGGGTCATGACCCACAGGTTGAGAACCACTGTTCTAGAGCATAATCCCTCTACTCCTTCTTAGGGATAGTGCTAATGAAATCTTAAAACCAAGTCCCTTCCTCAGTTCCTTACTCTGGTAGGTCTCTGCCTTCTTTCTTTGCCTTCAGTGTACATGAACAAACATGGCTGGGAACCAGAGCAGAAAGCAGCCTCACTGGGGTTTGTCCCCAAATGGCAGATGGTTTATTGATACTCATGCCACAGCTACCAAAGGGTTTCCAGTCGTCACAGCATGAAGACTGCCGGGGAGTCACCATCCAGTAGGCCTCTCCCATGGAGACCCTGTCCTCCCCTGACACTTGACTTCTGCTATCACTTGTTCCCATGACCTGGGCTCCAGTCTCCTTGCAATAGTCTCACCAGGACTTCAAAGCATGGCTACCAGTTTGAAGGTTCCCTCAGGTTTGGCAGGAACCACGTGGACAAAAGTCTTGTAGAGCACAGCACCCTTGGGCAGACTGGTGACCAGATCCACAGCCTCCGAGTTTTTGGGATTGGGCACGTAGACCTCCTTCGTGTAGCGGACTATCCCCTCCTCCAGGGCATAGAGGCACTTGTTCTTCCCAAGTCCCACCTGCAACACACAGACCTGGTCAGCTGGGAGAGGACAGGTGGTCTGTCCCAAGGCCTCAGGCCAGATTTCTCCTTCAGACTGAAGCCTGGAGCAGAAGGGCAGGCTCTGAGAGGTCCCTCTCAGATTTCTGTTTTCCACTGCTTAGCACTTCTTTGCTTCTGCTCCCTCAAATCCATAAGAGAGGAGGGAAAAGAAAATAATCCCAGACACTGGTAACAGCAGTAATGTCAACACAGCTGGGTAGAAGCTACAGTAGACCGAGCCAAATCCTAAAGCCAGCTCGCAAAGGTACCACAAATCACTGCCCCTGACAGCATGCTTTGTTTACACTTACAAAGTTTAGGTTCCATGGAAAATACACATCAAGATTGTATGGATTCTACACATGCTAGTAAAATAATAATGACCTCAGCTAACACTAATACACAGTGCTTACACAGTAAGCACTCACAGTTAAGTCCTGAGCTTCTGTACTGTTTTACACTTTTACATATATAACTCACTTCTTACCTGGTGTATTAGATACATTTCCAGTCCCATTTTCCAGATGATAATACAAAGTCAAGTGTCTTATTAAGTAGTGTACTTAATACAGATTTTAAAATTGCCTACGTTTATTTCTTTTACACTTCAAATTAGATGTACAGCAAAACTCGAGAGGCTGGAGAGATGACCCAGTGGCTAGAAGTACTTGCTGTTCTAGAGAACCCAAGTTGGGTTCCCAGCACCTGCATGACATGTCACAACTGGCTATAACTCCAGCTCCAGATAATCCAACACTTTTTTCGGGCCTCCTGGGACATCCACAGACACAGACATACAGATAGAGCTTTTTTGCTTTTGTATTTTTTTTTTTTTTTAAGAAAAAGCAAACAAGCAAGCAAACTAGGCATGATGGTACATGTCCGCAATATTTGCCAGGACTTAGGGAGGAGTTCATGGCAATTTTAAGGCCGGCTTGGGACACATGGAAAGTTCCAGGCCAGCCAGTGGAATACAGCAAGACGTCCTCTCAAAAACAAACAACAAAAAATAGATGTGGCAAGTCTTACACAACCAGTCCAAAACTATTTGGTGTCTCTCTGATTAAAAGTCTGTAAGCCAAGAGTGGTGGCACACTGCTGTAATCCCAGCACTCTGGTGGCTGTGGCAGGAGGACGGAGAATTCAAGGCCAGCCTGGGCAATATAATGAAACCCTTTCTAGACAAACAACAAAATAATAACATGGTTCAGATCCTAGTACTGCCAAACACCACGTGATCTTAGGCAAGTTACTTTCCTGTGTCTGCAAAATGGGGGTAAACTTGTGCTTCACAGGGTCATGACTTGCTACATCACAGGATGACCTAAATAAATGAATGGACCGTGAAGAACTTAGAGCATACTTAGCTCAAACACATCAGCTTCGCCCGTGATTACTGCAGTAAAGAATTAACAGCAGGCCGAGCACGGTGGTGCATGCCTATAATCCTAACACTAGGGAAGGCAGAGGCAGGTGGATCTCTGAGTTTGAGGCCAGCCTGGTCCAGGACAGCCAGGACTACACAGAGAAACCGTGGTTCGAAAAAACAAAATAAAAAATAATTCACATCCAATGTCTTTTTGTTTGGGGATGGTGAAAGTTGGGATGGGAGGTAGGGTCTCACTACGTAGTCCTGGTTGGCCTGGACCTCAGTACGTTGTCTGGGCTAGCCTTGAACTCAAAGATCGGCATGCCTCTAACTTCTAAGTGCTGGGTTGAAAGCATGCACTACCATGCTTGCCTTTGATGGTTACAATAGTATTTTATGTATGTAGGCGTTCTGCCTGTGTACTACTTGCATGGTTGTGGCCATCAAGGACAGAAGAGGGTGTCAGATCCCCTAGAACTGGAGTTACAGATGGCTGTGAACATCATGTGGGTGCTAGGAATTGAACCCAGGTACTGCTAAGATGTCCTAGCCCCTTTGATGTTGAGTTTTGTTTGGCTGACTGTTTTTTGGTTTTTCCAGACAGGGTTTCTCTGTGTAGTCCTGACTGTTCTGGAACTTGCTCTGTAGACGCAGGCTGGCCTCGAACTCACAGAGATCCACCTGCCTCTGCCTCCTGAGTGCTGGGATGAAAGGCGTGCGCCACCACCACCCATATGATGTTTTTAACTGAAGAAAAAGTATTTATTGAATCTGATTCTAGTAGAATAAAAATATTTCTTCCTTTTGAGTCATGAAAAGGGGAAATGTCTATTAAAATTACAAATTGATAAAAACACTGAAAGAAGTACACCACTTCCAGAAGATAACTGTATTTAAAGTATATTATTTCTAGGTCCTCAGGCAGCTGCAGCTGTCCTCAGGCAGCTGCAGCTGTCCTATATGTCATTTTATATAACCCACTTTCATTTTCTATGTAAGAGAAAAATGAGGCCCAGGGCATACTATGATCTAATGCTAGGCAAATCTCAGCTTTAACTAGGATTCCGTTACTCTCTGAGCCTCTGGCACTTCAACCATAAAATAGAAATGGCATCTATCTCACAGGGAAGGGCTAAGGACATAAGACATGGGCATGAAAAGGTTGCCCTAGGAAAGAAGAGCGGAAAGGGCACAGAGCAACTCACATGGGCGCCTGGGTGCCATCTAAAATGACGCTGAGTCCCAAGGATGTTGCCAGCATGAACATAGTGACCTAAAAGAGAAGTCCACAGGTGAGCTGACTGCACAGTGTTCACAAAAGCACAGTAAAATGCTGAGAAATCATAGAAATCCAAGGGAAGCAAACCAACCCCCAAGCCACTCCTGGGACATGCCTCCAAGACAGTCCTATGTAAACAGTGCCTGACCCCTATCCAGCAGCCTCTTTTTCGGTTGCATTTCTAAGCAAGTACTATGCTTAGCCAAGTGCGAAGCCAAGTGCTATGGTGGACTGCAGAAAGGACAGGGCGAGGCAAGTGAGTGTTGTTTCAGCTCCTTAAAGGAAAAGCAGGGCAGCACCTTAGGATGCAGCTGGAAAATAGAAATGAAGGAACACCCTTACCTTCCATTTTCTTGATGCCGAAGCGTTTGCCTGGTGATCTTCCACCAAGGTTCTTAGAGCTGCCACCTGTCTTCTTGGATGCATACCTGATTGTAAGAGCTGCAGGTGCCACGGGGCTCAGCAAGGCTGTCAGTGCACAGAAAGGAGAAATGCTGTTCAGAGAGGCTCCCCAGTAAGGTGCACTTTCTTTCTTTGCCTCTGTGGACCACTTGCTAAGCTGAGAAGCAGCAAGGGAGATGAGAAAAATGAAAGACGTGTGAAGGGAACAGAAATGCTGAGTATGTGGTGTTCAGGGAATCCTTGGACAGGGAACAATTCATCCCTGAAACTGGCCCAGTGGTCTGGGTTGTTGTTGTTGTGTGTATCAGATAGAGCAGGCAGTGAGCATAAATAGGGAGAAAAGAAAATATCATGTACTCTGGCTCTCGATACATTCAGTCCAGTTGAGCAGAAACAAACATCACTGAAACAGACAAAGTGGACACCAGGGAGCTGCCTGCTTCAAAGATTCACAGTCTCATGCCCAAGGGAAGGCACAGAACATGGGACATGCACACAGGCTTCTGGTGTAGCCTCACTTACCACTTTCTTAGCCATTCACAAACACACTGAACACCAAATGGCAGCTGGCCATTTCAGACAGGGCCTTGGTTCCCAGAACCCATAAGCAGATGTCCAACCGAGATCAGCATTACTCTGATCTCTCCACTCATCCCGAAGTGCTCAAGAAGCATTTACTTAAAATGGGACGACGATGTGGAAGGCGCTGAAGGGGGGTAGAGATGGTCAAAATACGCTGTATACATGAATAAAATTCCCAAATAGATGAAAATGCTTTTAAAGGAACATTATGCAAAATGCATCTAATGGGGCTGGAGGAATTGAACAGAGGTTCACAGCACTGACTGCTCTTGCAGAGGAATTAATCCAACTTCCTTGTAGTGGGGTCACAGCCATCTGTAACTCTAGTTCTGGGGGAGTCCAATGGCCTTTGCTGACCATGGTGCACAAACATACACAAGGGCAAAACCTTCACACACACAAAATAAAATTCGGTTATTGGGCCGTTGGCAGTCTGTATCTGGGGCTCGAGGCATGGTTATAGCACCAGGTCAGAATATTTAGAGACACTTTATGGGTGCTTGAAGCATACACTCACGGCACCAGTTACCTAGCTTTCTTAAATTCTCATGAAAACAGAAAGCAGCTGAGATACAAGACCAGAAATGAGAACTCACAGGGCAGGCTGGGCGTGGTGGCCATATGCAAACCTTTGATACCACCACTTAGGAGGTGGAGGCAGGAAGATCTCTGAGTTTGAGACCAGCCTGGTCTACAGAGTGAGCTCCAGGACAGCCAGGACTGCAAAAACAAACAACCCCCCAAAAAAACAAACAAACAAACAAACAAAGAAACCACGAAAAATTTACAGAGACATGTTCAATGTCTAGCAGTGGAATCTTCCTAACTTTAAACAGCCTCTCTCCTTCTCTCTTTTTCTCCCTTGTAGCCCAGGCAGGCCTTGAACTTGCAATCGTCAAGTCTCTCCCTCACATATAAACTGAGGTTACAGGCATGCACTACCTGGCTTCATTCACTGACTTCTGCGCAGCTGACATTTTGCTTTGCCTACATTATTTCAATCATAAATCTTTGTTCTTGTGAGGAACAAGGAGGTCTATGGGTTACTTCTCTTCCTTCATTTTACAGACCAGTAAGACCTGTGAAATCTATCTTCAGAACAGATATCATATTCATCCACCACCCTGCAAGCTCACTACTACTCTCTTGGCCAAATCATCCCACAGCAGGACTACTATTCCATTTTTTCCAGCTGGCTTGCCATATCGGTTATTTTAGTTATTTATTTATAGTTTTTTCGACTGTGACCCAGACTGGCCTTGGACCTGAGGAAATCCTCCTGCCTCAGGCTCTTGAGTGCAGGAATTACAGACACCATCATTCCTAGTAGGGGTTTCATTTTCATTTCCATGTATTTATTTGCATGCAGCCTGCCTCCTCTTAATTTGCTCCTCAAAACGTAAAACTGGATCAAGTCAACTTTCTTGCCTTCTCTCTACACAGGGTTAGGGTCTGTCTCTTTTAAGGTCTTAATCTCTATCTCTTCAGGAGATTTCCTTCACACCACTACTCACAATTACAATGAAGTTACTCACGTGTTTACTGGTTTACCTACTTAATTTACAAGGGCTTAGGAATCATGTTTATGCTAATACTCGGAGCAGTGTCTCACTAGACCTAAGCGTTGGCCATGGTCATATAAAAGCCTGGTATCCCAGCACTAAGTTGGCAAAATACATAGGGAGGAAGGGAAAAAAGCTGAATATCTGCTGAATGACTCGACTTACTTTTCTGAACCTAGTCTTCTCCATTTACGACAGGATCCACATAAACCCAGAGGAGATGGGCTATCTGACTTAACTACCCACGAATTCGCTCTCAATCCTTACACACCCACCCTCCACACAGCACCGCCCACCACGTGTCACGTGACCGGAGACGCTCGCCCTCCAAAGGTCGCGCGTCTCACGCTTCTTTCCCGTACCCAGGGTTCACCCTGGGATCCATCTCCCCGCTCCCCTGCTAGTTCGCCCCGCAACAGCCACAGTGCTGAGCTACCTGCTGCTCGCGTACTGAGAGCAACCGCGACCGACGCCATGCTTGCTTCACATTCACTTCCGGGCTGAGAAATCTGCTTCCGCTACGGGGAGATCTACTTCCGGGTCCTGCGTACAAGTCAAAGAGCGGCGGGAGCGGGAGCAGGAGCAGGTGAGCGCAGGTCTGTTGAGAGTTCTTCTGGGGTCCTCTGGGGGCTTCTGCACTGGCCCGCGGGCCTCCGAGGCGGGGGAGCGCGGCCGGCGTGGACGTTTGTCCCACTGCAGGAGTCGCCCGAAGCCTAGAGAGGGACCAAGATGAGGCTCAGCCAGATTTTGGGCTGAACTGCTTGTAGATGCACAATTTCATGTAACTCCAACAGACCTAAGTTATCGGTGTGATGTTAAAGAAACTGAGATCCAGGAAGGTTGCAAGGGTTGTCTCGAGCCACATCTACAGTCATTAATTATTGGTTGAAAGAATGACTCTTGCCTGTAACCCTGCAATTCCAGGCAGGCTTCCGTGTACACACAAGAGCCATGTGAAAACATACCCATTCAGAATATTTGTACCTGGATGTCTGTAGCAGCGTTATTCATAATGGGTAAGAAAGGGAAGCGAGTAACTGTCCATCAGGAAAAATAACTGCTTAAGCAAAATGTGGCATTTTGCCACACAATGGAGTATCAGTCAGCTATGAAAAGGGCGGGAGTATTGGTGCGTAGCACTGCCACAGAAGGGCCTTCAGAGCATGAACGGGAAAGACACCAGTCACCAAAGGCACATGTATGCTCTCATATAAAATATAGAATTTGTTTCGGTTGTTAGGTGCAGGGAGAGGGAAAGAATGGGCAATGACTTTTTTTTTTCTTTTTTAATGGTTATAGAATTTCTCTTGCCTTTGAGACAGTCTCAGAGTCTTGTTGGCTGGTCTTGAATTCAAAATATCCTCCTGTTTCTGCCTCCCAAAAGATAGGATTGCAGCCATACACCAACATACCCAGTTCTTGTAGGATTTCTTTTAGTGGTGATGGAGACAGTCTGGTAATGGTGACACAACACAGAAATACTAAACCCCATTAATCTCTGTGTGTGATTTGTTTGTTTAGCTATTAATTGCAAGGCTGGGGATTAAACCCCTTCATTGCTCTATACATACAAAGCAAGCACTCTACCATTGAGCTACTATTCCAACTAATAAACTGTATTTTTAAACAATATACACTATGTGAATTACAGAGGTTTCTTTTTTGTAGTGTGTATGTGTATACACACAAACACATGCAGGCCTGGGCACAGGTGTGCATGTGACGATAAGAGAACATCTTTTGGGAGTCAGTTCTCCGTCTACTGTGTAGGTTCTGGGAATTGAACTCAGGTTATCAGGCTAGGTGACGTGTCTTTACTTGCTGAGCCATCCAAGTTAGCTTATGTTTTTATTTATTTTAAAAATTCATTTATTTTTTTTTAAGATTTATTGTTTTTACAGCATTCTGCATGCATGTACACCTGCACACTAGAAGAAGCACCAGATCTCACTATAGATGGTTGTGAGCCACTATGTGGTTGCTGGGAATTGAACTCAGGATCTTTGGAAGAACAGCCAGGGTTCTCAACCTCTGAGCCATCTCTCCAGCCACCACCACCCCCATTTTTTATGTGTATGTGGAGGCCAGAAGGCGGCATTGGATCTCCAGAAGCTGGAATTACTGGCAGTTGTGAAAGCTGTCCAATGTGGGTACTGGAACCTGAACTTGGTCCTCTGCAAGGGCAGTACAAACTCTCCAGCTGTGCTCTCTCTCCAGCACCAGCATGATTTTTTTTTTTTTTTAAAGATGTCATGTTAGGGACCAGTGAGATGACTCAAAGGTAAAGGTGCCTGCTGCCAAGCCTGGTGACCTGGGTTCAATCTTCAGGCTCACATTGTGGAAGGAAAGAGCCAGCTCCCTAAAAGGAGTCCTTTGATTGCCACATACGGGTTGGGGCATGGATATGCCCACACACATACACAAAATTTGTTGTTGTTATTGTTTTGAGGCAGGGTTTCTCTGTGTAACCCTGGCTGTCCTGGAACTCACTCTGTAGACCACGCTGATCTCAAACTCACAGAGTTTCTGCCTCCCAGAGTGCTGGGATTAAAGGCGTGCACCTTGATTATAACTCACCATGACTTAGAAAGGTTTTGAAGCCGGAATCCTGTTAGTATACCAGGGTGGCCATTTTGAGTTCCTAATTGAATGTGTTGGAGCATGTCCCATTTCTCTGATTCTCTTAACATGTTTACCTTCATAAGGCTTGGCCTCGTGAACACCTCTATCGAAACAGCTTGAGATTAAAAGTGTTCACCACCATTCCTGGAGATCCCTTCTTGTTTTTCTCTTTTTTTTATCTATCTGTTTGTCTGTCGGTCTCATATGTGTCTCATCTTTCCTTTTAGGAATTAATTTAATAGCTCTAATGTGTTGATGGCTCTAAGAAAGTTATCCCTCTCTCTCCTTTCCATGGAGAGTGATTCTGAGGAATTGCCCACATTTGCCTTTCTGAAGAAGGAACCATCTTCGGCTGACAAGAATCTGCCTCAGAGGGAGAAGAACATAGTGGTTGTCACCTCAGATTCTGAGGCCTCCTGTCCTCCATCTCCAGCCCTGAAAGATCCACCCTCTGTCCCAGATGCAGCTGAAGCTCCTACAGAAGTGGCGCCAGTCAGAGTGCTAAGCAGTGACAGTGAGGATGAAGACATATTTGTCCCCCTGGCTGAGAGGATAACAAGGAAGTTTTTGACGAACAAGCAGCTGAGCCCTGAGCGCTCTCGCTCCCCACTTAAAACTGTTTTGGATCATCAAAATAATGCAGATGCACCATGTGACTGGGAAAAGCAACCATTTCCAAAGTTCCCTGATGTTCCTCTCCACGGCGCCTTAGAAGAGAGTCCAGCAAATGATGAGGACTCTATCTTAGACAGTCAGTGCCACCGGCCTCCAGCCTACCAGTCTAACTGCAGTGAGTTGGTAACCAAAGCAAACCCCGACAAGAAGAGAGACAGGCACAGTCAGAAAGCCCAGAGAAGAGGCTCTCAAGGATGCTGGCAGCCAAGACAAGCAAGCAGGAAGGAAAACGCCCCGAGGCAGAATGAAAGGAAAAAGAAGGCAGCGGCAGTCAGCAGGCTAAAAGCCCAGAGGCCGGAAGACTGCATGAAGCACATGGTGGTGGTGCTCGATCCAGGTCCTCCCAGATCCCAGCTTCCCCCTGAGCCCAGATGGCCGTGTCCTGGACTCCTCTGTGACCAACCCCTTCTAAACTATTGCAGTGCTTCTCCAGATGGAAGGTGGGGGCCAGCTCCTGGGAGCATTGCAGTCCATGGAGTGCAGGTGTGTGATTGAAGCACAGGCCGTACCTCGAAGTATCACTTGGAGGAGGAGGACAGAGCTGGTAGAGGTACGGGCTTCAGGCCAAAGGCTCTCCTTCCCCTTCACCCCCTTAGCACGGCAGGATAAGCTGCATTGCCCCTGGGCGAGACTCGGTGTCATAGCTGTTACTGTCTCCAAGTCTGGAGAGATGAAGAGAGGAAGCGGTTAGCAGAATCCAGAGAAGTTTGATCTGTCACAGAGGGGTTGCAGGTATAGGTATAGTGACCACCTATAATGGGCCATCCTGGGTAATCCCAGGAAGCAGTCACCATGAGTTCATTTTCTTTCCCTCTAATTTACCACTCAGGTTCTTAGCTGGGGGCCCAAGGGCCTGGGCTTGACACAGCTTAAGCAGAATGGGGCAGGAGAAGAGAATTTGTGTGAAATTCCTAAGTCTCTAACTGGGCTTTGGGATGGAGCAGCTGTGTTTGAGCCCTGGCCTCCTGGCTTGACTGCTGGGCTCTGCAGGTCATTCCGCACCTTTGCGTTTCGGTTGCCTGTTGTAGAGTGAGGATGCAGGTAACCTCTCTCTCCTGTTGGAGAGTCTGAATGAGGTAATCTGGCACTGGCACCTGGAAGGCTCAGGCACATACCCGTCCTCCAGCCTGAGTTCCCACGTTACTGTACTGACTTCCCACCATTCCTTCTGTCTGTGAGTCCAGACATTCTGCCCTTCAGGAGTTTAGAACGAAGCATTGAGATGCTTGTTTTTCTCTCGTTCGGCCCTCATAACTTTCTCAATAACTTAGGACAGTCACATACACACAGTTAACTTGTGTTATTAGCAAAGCTATATTCATGGCTGGGCATGGTGGCATACGCCTTGAAGCCCAGCACTTGAGAGGCAGAAGCAGATGGATCTCTGTCAGTTTGGAACCAGCCTGGTTTATAGAGAGGGATCAGATTAGTGATCTCACCACATAGTGAGACCATGCCTCAAAAAAAACCAACCAAACCCCCTCCACTGTTGGAGCAGTTTGTCTTTGAAGATGCTGCGCAGTTTTCTCACGTTCCTGTCGCAGCTGCCCTGAAGAGTACACTTCACAGGTAGAAAAAAGCTGAATGCCTGGCTCAGGGTCACAGCTGGAGCTTGACCCCAGAAGTCCATCTCCTGCACCTTGTTGTATTAGGAATCTTGCATAGAGCTGTAGGGACCATGAGAAAATAGCACAAGTGTCCCTCCCAGCCACTTTTCAGAACTCTGTTGCTGTGGGTGCTTAGCCCTGAAACACCTTGGCTTTGACTGAGCCCTCGCTCTGATAATTTCTTATCTTTTCTTCCTTGTGGTGTTGGGGATGGACCTCAGGTCCTCGTATGCTAGGCAAACACTGTTACACTATATACCAAACACGATTTTTGTGGTTGTTTTTAAAGATAAGGTTCTCTCTATGTAGCCCTGGCTGGCCTCAAACTCAGATCCATCTACTTCTGCCTCCCAACTGCTGAGATTAAAGGCGTTCACCACCATGCCTGGAGATCCTTTCTTGTTTTTTTCAATATGTCTGTCTGTCTGTCTATTTATACAGGGGTCTCTATGTAGCCCTGGTTGCCCTGGAACTCTATGTGCCAAGCTGGCCTTGAACTTATAGAGAGCTTCCCAGCTATGCCTCCTGAGAACTTGGATTGATGGTTGTTGCCACTATCTCCTAATTTAAAAAAAAAAAAAAAAAGTATCTTT